GTTACAATTTGTTCAGGGGATTTGAAATCAAGCTGCTACAGAACCAACACTTAAAGTTCACAAGCGCATCGAATAAATAAAATAGTATGATATTAGCGAACGTTCTTGTGAACGTAAACAATATTATATTTATAATCTGACATTAATCAAGCTGAATACTTTTATTGAACTTCTGCGTTTTAGTTTCTTACCTAAATAACTATCAGTCCAGAATATCATGATAACTTTTCGCAAATGGAACCATGGTCCGGACTCTTGTGTCTTCAGTGCGAGAAGAATCTGAAATTAATGACAATTGAAAATCAGAAAATTCTAATTTACCAGAACACATATTTCGTATAATTATTAATTGTTGAACAGTCCCTATTATTAAACTTCGAGATCCGACCTTCAGAAAACGGCCTAACTAAAGACCCTAATCTTAACCCAAAAAGATAATAACTACCATACCCACAAAAATCTAATAAATCATTAAAAAATTTCTTCGTGAGTTTACTGTAGATCTACACTGGATCATAAGAAACAACTCGAGAACACTGCGACATGTCCCACCATCTTAATCTGGTTATTAAGAAGCATTATAACGCTCCACAACCTCGTCAGCTCCTTCATCAAACCTTGTATCTTATATAAAATCACCTGGGCAGAAGGATTGTATGTACAGCTCGGTGATGCTGAGTCAAATAACTATTCATATGGTCCTTATGATCATAATAGAACAAAAGCTCTTGCCCAGAATAAATTGAATATGTCATGATAATTCCTCAACTGTATGAGTGCGAAGGTTGTTCAATGCTGAAAAACCCCAAATAATGTTAAAAACGTGCCCGTTAACCAATTTGGCTAATTCTTTGTGTTTAAGAATGAGTTTTCTTCATATTCCAAATTGCAAGAATTGATTACACATAATTTATTTTACATCAACATTTTTACGGCCTATCTCCTTTTATTCTCTGATAAGAATTTAACTAATAAATTGTATATATACAACAACTAATTATGGTCAATCAGAGTTTATCCTCCATCAATCTGAGTATCTCGCATGATGGTGTAGAAAGCTTGGGTGTTGACTCGCCACATAACACCTCCTGAAGAACGACTCTTTTTAGATGGGAGGTTCCCCGCTTCTGATGGCTCTTCATGTTTTCCTCAACATACCCTCTTATCTTAGTACCTGTTTATTATTTAAAAATTAATTATAAGAAGTAACTAAACAGTTCCAATCGAAGTAAACTAAGAAGCTAATTATTGAGAATGTCATGGAAGAGTCAGCCACATGAATAAAATCCATTCCAAATGGCTCATTAACAAAAGATAAGAATAAAAGTTGAACTCAAACAGAGGCATAGTAACTCGAATTATAAACTGAACAACACAAATGTCATGTACTGTACAAATTAAATACATCAAAAAATACCCAAAAATACTGTCCAAGAGGTTTCCATATTACATAATTTTTATCTTTAACAGATGTTTGCAGCCTGATCAGACTAAATAACAAGGAGGAAGTCTTTAAAAGAAAACTTGGTGGTAATAGCTCCTCCCAGTACTCTTTCAGCCATGTTCACCGTGTTGTTGTTTTCACAATGTTACAAACATTGGGTAAAAATGTAGAACTAAGTTGACTGAAGTATGTCGACAGTGTAATCGTACAGCTCGTTTATTCTCTCCAATCTCGGTCAAACCTAGCACAGAAAAGATCTATTACGCGCTGAAGTTAAACTCCCGCTTCTCAAACCACTCAGGAGGGTGGTTCCTTGCACGGACCTGTAGGGCGGAATGATCCTTGGGCCACCGGTAAAATGATTTTATTTTTGGTGGGTTGTTGTAGAGGGTTTTCAGTTAAGGTTCTGTGGTCGATGTTGAGTCTCCGGAGGTAGTTCACGGTACGGGGTCTGAGAGTGTGGGAAGCTGCTTTTTTGAGCGTAAAAGTTTTTGTCTTTCCGCGCATTTATCGTAGGGGATCCCGTTCCGGACAGGTACTCCATCACGATCACCCACACTCCGTCACCTTGCAAATGTTCATATTTTTTGATGTTGTGGTGTTTCGACCCTTCAGCATGTAGTCTCTTTGGAAGTTCTCCCCTTTTGGGCAGTGGATGGGGGGAAACTTTTAAAACAACTTTGGGCGTAGAAGGTCCCAGAAGGCCTTTTTAACTTTGTAGACAGGCCAAAGCCCCCTTTCCCCCAAGGCGCTGGACCTTTGTTTTTGTTTCAAAATTGTAAAGGCTGGTATATTAGAAGAAAATTAAAGAAAAGTGGGGGAAGATTTTTTTAAAACGTTATGCAGTTATAATTTTGTCGGTATTTTTAAAGTGTGGTGTAAAATCAAGAGCCAATTTTGGATTGTTAAGGGCCCCTGATGGGCTTAAACATCACTGATTTAGTGTGGCACCCCTTTGAAAGAAGGTGATTGATTATACGTTGATTTAGTGTGGACCCTTTTGTAAGAAGACGGATCGGATTCATCCGGGCCAAAGAAAAGGTTTCGATCACACCTCATTAAAAACGCACCCTGAAGGGAAATTTTCATTTAGAAACTAGAGAAACAACAAGATCTGATTTTATATCCATGTATCACATTATTAGAGATCTAACAGCATTAACTCGAAGCTTTGAAAACCATCCGATGCAGTCAACCCCTTAAACCCCCACTTAGAATAGCGCATGCAATAGCCGGTTTGAAATGAAAAGTTCTTAAAATTTTTAAAGGTTTTATTTTGGGTATTAATATGAAAAAGCTAAGTCAACTACGTGGAGCCCTGGAGAGGGTTGTTTAAAACATATAAGTGTAAAAATGTGGCCCGTCTATTTCACCCCAGAAGAAACCTAATAATACCTTTAAAAACAATAAGAAAAAGTTTAGAAAGATCTGTAATCCTTATAAAGTGAACCCGTTATAAGTTAAGGGTTGCGATTAGTCATTTTAAATTTTAATGCGTTAGATGGAGTGGATAAAGACATATTCAACAGGGAATTTGTTTTTTGGTGACCCGTGTGATTTGTGAGAAGTCGTTGTTTATTTTTTTTTGGTTAAAACTTCGTGTAATTGTATTCTTTATTCGCTATGTTATGTAATCTAATTTAATAATTAAAAAATGGTTATAATTTCCAAAACTTTAAATTTAAAATCATTAAATTAAAACCCGATTAAAATTTTTTAAGTTAAGAGCACCCCTGTAGATTTTCTAAAGTTGAATGTAGGCATAGTTGTTGGGTGGTTTTTGGGGTTTGGGGGGGGCGTATAAGTTCTAAACGGAATCTCCCCACGGGCCCCCCCTTTCTTTACAGTCCCATGTGCAGATAATTTTTTAAGCTTTATTATTTTTGACCCTAAAAAACCCTATTTTTTTAAATCCGGGCACTGTACCGGCGGTATTTTTAAAATGGTTTGGTGGTGTGGTATAATTTGGGGGGAGGTTATGTTTGTGATTGTGTTTGTTTGTTGGAAGGGTTTGTTCCAAGACAAGACTTTTTAGTCGAATCCATGGTAGGTTGGTACCTTGAGGGTTTAAAATTTAAAAAGATTTAAAAAAGTTTAAAAAAAGGCATATTGGTATTGATTAACAAATCCTACATGTTTATGTTGTTTTTTTTAATGTATTCCCAAGTTGTAGTTGTAAAAGAGAAAATTTTGTCAAAAATTTTTTTAAATCTTTATCTGACGGTAGAATTTCCCCATGGGAACAACTGGATGAATTAAAAAACCCCCGTTTGGTATTTTTAACAACAAATATAACAGGGGGCACAAAAAAAAAAAATGGTTTACCGTGGGGGAAAATGAAATTTTTGTAATTTTTCTAAAAAAAATGCAATACTAGGGGAAATTTCAGTAATGATTTAAAAAAAAACGTACGAACGGTTAATTGTTGAGTGTGTAAAAGTTGTGGGGCCCTTTTTCAATGTACTTTTTTGAACTTGGGAACTGGCTTCAACCCCTCTTCCTATCGGCCATTCGCAATTGCACTTTCCCTAAAGTTTGAGGATCATTTTTCGCCTGAAGTAGGGAGTATCTTGTAATGGGCGAGTAAAATTTTTCAACAGATTGACTTAAGTGGTGTAAGAAACGATTAAAACATTATAAAATTAAAAAAGTTTTTTAAGGTTTCTTTCAAAATAAGAAAGGCCCCAAATTCAGTGTAAATTTATTATTTTATCTAATTCTTTATAAAGTAAAACTGTAAATTAAATTATTTTAAGTAAGCTTTGTTTCTGTGCTTGTTTACCTTGGCAAGCAAGCATACATTGTTTTAAGTTGATATATGTGTGAAACTTATTCATGATAGGAGAATTCCATAACTTACATTTCTTTTCATAAAACGTTATAACCGAAAGTAATTGTATAATAATTGAAACAAAGTAGATACAGTAAGTGCATGTTGAACTTGTTTTGGTTGAGACATAATTTTTAATGTGTAACCGATTACCCCAAATCTCCAACCCAAATTAAAACATTTTATTAGCATCCAAATGTAACGTCTTGATGTAGAGGAAAAAAGGAAATTTTTTGGTGTGTTGGTAACAAAGGTGACCTACAATAACAGAAACCAGTTACATAGATAAACAGAAAAAGGGAAAAGAATGACAACAATGTAAGAACCCCCCGCCCACCCCTCAATATCCGGAATAAGGAGTCCCCCCCTCAACGGGGAAAACCACCCCCCAATCTAACACTTCCGTTCTAATGTCCAGAAACAATCTCCTCCACTCCCCCAAAAACCCTTTCAACCCGGCCCCTGAGTAGGGTTCCCCTGAGAAGAAACTAACCTTAAGAGATTTTAGTGTAGTAAAAAGATACAAGGAGCCCTGGTAAGAAAAAGGGAGGATGACCCTGAAAAACGACCCTGTAAAAAGGCTGTAAAAAGAGCCTAAAGCACCCAGTAAGTAAAATGTCCAGTTACTGTGTTTCCCAGACAATAAACACAAGTGAACCGATAATTTATCCAGGGAGGAAGAGGAGCTCTGAAAGTATTATTTCAGTTTCCTGGTCCTCCCCTCTGAAGAGAAGGTTAGTTTCTCTGATGAGGTGGAGGAGGAGAGTGTATTTTCAGAAGGACACTACTCTGTACCAGAGTGTTTTAAACCCAATGGGACACGCACAGATACCATGGTTACTAACACACTCTCCAGACATGGCAACTCTTCTACAACTCTCCCGGGACGAGCTCACCACTCGGCAGCGCCTCACCACTCGGCAGCGCCTCCCCACATACGTCACTCCACTCAAACTCTCCCTAAGAACCTCTCAGCTCTTTATCTACATGGACCTGTACCTCGTCGTGCCTCGGAGCCTGGCCAGATAACAAGCACTCTACCTCACCTTGCCTCAAAGTTAACCCTGTCTCAGCAGCCCCCACTTGAACTCTACAACCTGTCACCACGGAGTTTTGACACTTCAACTGTGCACACTACGTTGAACCTCAATACCAGAACATTTGACTCCGACGCTTACAAGAACAATGTGTTCAGCCCCCCACACCCTGTTGTAGAGATAGTGAAAGATAAGAGAAGTTGTAGTATGGGTATACTGTCTAGAGATAAGGGGACTTTGTCTAAAGATAAGGGGGCTTTGTTAAATGATAAGGGGCAAAAGAGCGGAGAGAAGGGGGGCTTGCAGTTTAGGGAGTGTGACGATGAATCTACACAGGTAGTTATTATGGGGTTAGGTTTTTTTTCAGTATTATTTAATTGATCATAAATTCTCTCCATAACGTTTAGGGACCTGTAAATATTATTTTATTTTACAGTCGAATCAGAAATCAGAAACTTGCTGAAACAAATTTAAAATTGTATTTGATCGTATAGTGGCCCAACCAAACTAATCTGTGCCTTGTCATATCGGTTATATCTGTAACTAATGGAACGGACCCAACTTCGAGGCGCTATAATGGGGAGCATGTGCATGTTGTCTCTAATTATTGTAATTCTTTAATTCCTTGTTTCCATAACAACCGCAGACAAATAACTCGCTATAAAGCTCTGGTATTATTAATATCTTGCATGTGTAAGTAAACTGTGGCAATGAACAAACTTCATTTTAAGTTTACCCAAATTTCATGCCGTCAATTTATGCAACTTTGTTTGAACTTTTACAATCTCCGAAACATGAAGTGAGATAAGGATACCGTCTTGAAAATGGAGGTTGAAAGAAGAGAGAAAGGATACGTTAAATTCTTTTTAAACATTTGACATTTCTATCGTTTTTCTCCCTACATTTCCGGGAATGAAATCAGTATGTGACTTCCCCCTCATACAGCAAATAATATTAATCTAATAGCGGGAATTATTTACCGGCTGAATTACATTTCAATTTACTTCCCCGTTACGGAAAATGTATCCTGCTAGTTTATAACTTACCCAATGAGAACAATCTGTCCGGTGTCCAGTGGGTACCCCTCCATCGCGGGAACAATGTATTAAAATTCAATCGTAGCTGTAGAAATAACAATAAAGCTAATTTGTCTAACAATCTAAGAAATGTAAGACTAGCTTGATAAGATACCAGGAACTAACGTATTATCTCCGCCAGGTGAAACAGTATCTAGCAGCACTACCTGAGGATAAGAGACCCGTTAACACACTGGGTGTACAGTGGAGAATCAAGCAACTCCAGACTCAACTCCCTAGGTATTTGCAATATTGCACTTTCATGGAGAACTGGGCACATTTATTGGGTTTAGACAATCAGTTCTTTTGCTCTGAGATCAATTCCTATTCCACTGACTTCGTTATCGAAATGTAGAGCAGTATAAAAATTGGAAAATTTACCCAGAATAAACCGGGAGACTTAGGTTGGGGTATTTAGAAGGAATATAATTGTGTTACAGCAAAGGATGAACCCGGGGGGGGGGGTTTTTTTACCCCCAAGGATGTTTTAAAACCCCAACTTCCCCAGTATGCCCAAACTCAATACTGTAGGGAAAATGTTTCCGAGGGCGCAGGAGTTTTTTATTTTTGTGGGGCGGGAAAGGGAGAAGCTAGGGAAGGGAGAGGTTAAATCTTTCAAGAAGAAGAGCAAAAGGTTGGGGATTGAATTGAAAATTTTTACTTTTTTCACTCCCTGAAAAAAGTTTTGAAATGTTCGAAAAAAAAAGGAATGTGAATTTTGGGGGGAAATAAAAAAAAAAAAAACAAAAAATGCCCCCTTTTTGTTAAACAGTGACAATTTTGTTCAGAAAGTGGAGAAAGGGGGAGGGTTTTGGTGGGGTTTTTGCAGTGGGTAGAGATTAGTCCCGGAGAGTTGGCATTGGTGTTTAAAGTACCACTTGTGAGGGTATTTTTGTAGATCTTATTACTTCAGGTAGAAATTACAAGTTTTAAACAAAATTTCAATTATTAAAAATTTAATTATTACTTTTTAAAAAATAACAAAATTTTGTAATGGTCACAAAGCGAAGAGATTATGACGATTCTTTTTTTTGTAAAAAAAAAAAAATGGGGCTTTGGCAAAATATGGTTTCGTTAATTATGGTACAAGGAGGTCGGGTATCCCCAGATGTCCCAAACGGCTTTATGTAAAAAAATTTTAACAGTTTATATATTGTAAAGAATGATAGTTTTTTTTTTGCATAATTTTAAAAATTCCCCAGTTGTGCTCTATCTATAAATAAAACAAAATAACGTGACCAATTTTAAAAGTCGGGCCCTTACGGATTCGAGTCTTACACCTCAATGGTCGTGAAAACGGTAAACACTTAATATTTGATTTACAAAAGGGCCCCATTAGCAAAAAGTTAGTGTCGCTGCAAAATTCTTTTGGGAAGTTCTTAAAACCTTACATCACAAAAGGTGCATTTTAAAAAAGTTTGTTGATTTAGAAAAAGAAGGATTGCGAGAAAAGGCCTATTTATGTTTAAAAATAACGGGATAAGGAAAATTTAAAAAACAAAATTTTCCCGTAATGTTAAAACCGTTTATATATAAGTCGCCCCCAAACATCACCGAATCAATTTCACTCGTACATTCCCTCTCGTTCACTGTCAACAATTCACGCAAAAACGGAAGAGCTTTGGAATTAAAAACAGCGTTAATACAAAAATTTTTTAAAAATCTAGCTAGCTGTGCATGCGCCTGTTTCCCTCTTACAATCGAAAGTGCATTAATATGATAATTTAACTTTACTCCTAAAGGGAAAAAATAAATGGTTGCTATGCTTTTTAAATAAGTCCTTTTAAGTTTTTTTTTCGTTTAACAAAATTAATTTGTTTTGTTTGAATAGATTTAATACTTTTTAAAGTTTTTTGGTAAACATTGGTGAGTTTTGGGCGGCCCCCCAAAAAAAAATGTGAGGGTAGTTTTTTGATTTGATCCTCGTAAAAACCTTTATATTGAACTAATTTTCGTATGTCTATTTCACAAGTTTTCCCCGTTTTAGGGTGTTATCATCACAATGGAATATCAATCAGTGTAGGTCATATTTAGTTTTTATAAATATTAGAGGTTTTGGGTACCCCCCATAAAAGGGGGTTTTTGCCCACAAAACTTTCTTTAAACCAAAAATATTAACCTTTTTTTTAAAAAACTTAAAAAAAAAAATTTTTCCCCAAAAACCTCTTAAAGGGCCCTTTAAAATTTAAGAGGGACTTTTTTTAACAACAACCCCCCCCCCCCCCCCCCCCCCCAAACCCCCCCCCCCCCCCAAAAACCCCCCCCAACCCCCCACCCCTCCCCCCCACCCATTTTAAAATTGGAAGGAGTTTATCTGCGGACAACCGATCCCCCAAGGAACTTCTGCGTTGGGGGTGTATGCGGGAGGGAGGGCTAAATCTCATTAAGGGACAATTACTGTCGGGGGAAGTTAATACGTCTATAAAGGAAAAACCCTTTTCTGTAGGGGTTAAATTAAAAACGCAGTCATAGGGAAACCCATGTAGGGGTTAATTTTTAATGTAGTCATAAGGAACACCCCTTACTGTCAGCCGTGTAAGTTAATACGTCAGTCATAAGGGACAACCTTACTGTCAGGGGTAAATTAATACGTCAGTCATAAGGGACAACCTTACTGTCAGGGGGGTAAGTTAATACGTCAGTCATAAGGGACAACCTTACTGTCAGGGGTAAGTTAATACGTCAGTCATAAGGGACAACCTTACTGTCAGGGGTAAGTTAATACGTCAGTCATAAGGGACAACCTTACTGTCAGGGGGTAAGTTAATACGTCAGGGGTAAGTTAATACGTCAGTCATAAGGGACAACCTTACTGTCAGGGGTAAGTTAATACGTCAGTCATAAGGGACAACCTTACTGTCAGGGGTAAGTTAATACGTCAGTCATAAGGGACAACCTTACTGTCAGGGGTAAGTTAATACGTCAGTCATAAGGGACAACCTTACTGTCAGGGGTAAGTTAATACGTCAGTCATAAGGGACAATCTTACTGTCAGGGGTATGTAATATGTCAGTCATAAGGGACAAGCTTACTGTCAGGGGTAAGTTAATACGTCAGTCATAAGGGACAACCTTACTGTCAGGGGTAAGTTAATACGTCAGTCATAAGGGACAACCTTACTGTCAGGGGTAAGTTAATACGTCATATCATTTCTCTGAAAAAAACATGTTTAAAGCTTAGTTGTTTGTTTCTTAGTTGTTTCACAAATAACACCATCTGTTCAGGTGTTACGAGAAACTATTCTGTACACGCTGCGTCACATGTCGTGAACCTATCGGCGCAGGCGCTCCACTCTTCAAACATGGGGCCCTGCGTTGGCATGGCAACCCGCAGTGCTACGCGTGCTCCTTCTGCAAAACATCTCTCGTCAACAGGACCTTCATGCCGACTGAGCGTTACGTGTACTGCTCTAAAAACTGTTACAGATGTCACGAGAGTCTGAGGAAAACTAAGGGGAAATAGCTTGTCACGTGACTGCAGCCTGGATAGAGTTAGGTTTACTTAGATTAGTAATACCCGATTACAGTTTTAATGAGACCTCAATTATAGCCCAAGATCAGATTTTTGTTGTTATTTATAAACACCATATTGAATTTGTATTTGCAGAATTTTGTGTTTTTTCTCACTGCATCAACTTTTCTGACCATAGTTCTGCCGATTAATTGCGATTCCCAGCAATCGATTGTTTTGAGATCGTTTAGCATGCGAATTTTCACATCATGAATAACAATCTATGTACGAGACTCATTACGAGTGTTCTATGTAATTTTATTGAGATTTAAGCAGATGATAGAAGTAAATTAGCAGGATTTTTCATTTCATGACCAGATTAAAGTTGGTTGTCCAAATGTTTATTCGCCTTAGCACTGTTTTGCAAGAATCACACGTCGAGTTATTATTTTATAATATTACCAGATCACAAACCCATCATATGTAACTTTAACCAGGCTAACCTGCAATTGTCATTTGGAGAAACCATCTCAATTCTCAGTAGTGTGTTAGATAGTTCAATCATCAGAGTTATTACAGAATATAAAGATATTTAGTGAATTTTACAGAATTTCGAATCATTTTATTCAGATTTCGTTTACCTTGTTATGTAACTTGATGAATACAAAAACATTCCAGCGTTCACAATTAAATTATAGTGATACTGTCGCCTCTTGGCCATTGAAACTGGAGACTTTTATGGCAATGAAGTAATCGGTACCGCAAAATTCGAGTTGGACTTTCCGTTCCGTATGTTCCGCGGAACGATATTTGACGAAAGTCGATTATCTCGAGATCTGAATGATAGAATTTCTTTAAACTTTCCAGATAGTTACATGGCTATAAGACGGATAATCTGAGCAAGTTTGGGCGAATTTCTATGTGCCAAACTTAAGATATGACTTCAAACACAAGAAAATATCTCAAATTGGCGCGTTCTAGCGGAACGCAGGCATATATTTCGAGATCTGAATGATAGAATTTCTTTAAACTTTCCAGATAGTTACATGGCTATAAGACGGATAATCTGAGCGAGTTTGGGCGAATTTCTATGTGCCAAACTTAAGATATGACTTCAAACACAAGAAAATATCTCAAATTGGCGCGTTCTAGCGGAACGCAGGCATATATTTCGAGATCTGAATAATAGAATTTCTTTAAACTTTCCAGATAGTTACATGGCTATAAGACGGATAATCTGAGCGAGTTTGGGCGAATTTCTATGTGCCAAACTTAAGATATGACTTCAAACACAAGAAAATATCTCAAATTGGCGCGTTCTAGCGGAACGCAGGCATATATTTCGAGATCTGAATGATAGAATTTCTTTAAACTTTCCAGATAGTTACATGGCTATAAGACGGATAATCTGAGCGAGTTTGGGCGAATTTCTATGTGCCAAACTTAAGATATGACTTCAAACACAAGAAAATATCTCAAATTGGAGCCTTCTAGCGGAACGCAGGCATATATTTCGAGATCTGAATGATAGAATTTCTTTAAACTTTCCAGAGTAATTTTAACTTTTCAATTATATGTGTGTAATCAGTGTAGCTTGTGTTGCAAATATCGAGCTCTCTTATCTTTTGTAAATTTGCAATAAGTTCAGTTTGCTGCTACCGTTTAGTTTACCTTTGCGTGTGTACTTGTGTGTACTTGTACATTACTATACAAGTACACTATGGGGGATGACCCAACTTTGACCCGATCCCAGGAGTTGATTAAGGAGTTCAACTATGATCAACAGGAAGATGTGGAAGGCTGTGTTGCTCGCTGGTCCGATAAGTTAGAAAAAGACCTGCATATGGACTACCGTGAAATTGACTACGAAAGTCGTGAAAAGATCAAGACTAAGGATAAACAGACTCTGTCTGGCTGGATTGTGGATGCAGTGGACCTTGTTCGTCGGCAGAATAGTCAGATGTATCTCTTGAAGGAGATCATCGAGTGCTTCAAGACGGAAGCACTAGCAGACAAAGAAAAGGTGATCAGACTGCAGGGCCAGCTGCTGATGCAGAAGGACGAACAACTACAGTTGCTTAAGACGTCTGTTGAGGAGACAGTCCAAACAACGGTGGAGTCAGGGATTCAGAACTATAGTGCAGCTGTTCAACAGAACAGTGCAAGTGGTACGGTCTGCAACAGTAAAATCCTGAAGAAGGTGATGAAGAGTGTGGCTGCAGAGGAGGACAGGAGCAAGAACCTGATCGTGTTTGGGCTGAAAGAAGAGGAGGAAGAACAGCTTCCAGCGCTAGTTACCGCAGTTTTGGAGGAGATCGGGGAGAAACCTCACTTCGAAGCGACTAGAGTCGGTTGGAAGAGGCCAGGTAGTACGGCTATCCGACCAGTCAAGATCACCGTCCCAAGCTCAACAGCGGTTCATCAGATTCTGATGAAAACAGGGAGACTGAGGGAGAAGCACAAAGATGTATGGATATGTCCAGACAGATCCAGCGAAGAACGAGCAACAAGGAAGCATCTGGTCACTGACCTGAAGAAGAAGAGGGCGGAACAGACTCATCTCGACCACTACATCCGGTACGGGAAGGTATGTAGCCGTGATAAGAAGTCATCATGAGTTACACTCTCGGACACTGATCAGTATATATGAAGGAGTGATGATTATTTTAAGAATTTTCAGACGTTATCTGTATTTAAGAGACAACTATATATTTTGAATATTTTATTATTTGTTTGTTTCACACTTCTCATATTTCATAATTTTATTACTAGGTGGAGGTGATGTTATTGAGACTTTGGGCGGCCATAAAACTCCTGTTTTGAAAGTTGTCCTCTGTACTTGTTTCACTGACCCACGCTTTATAGCATTTATACATTTCGGCCCATTTTATATGTTTGTTCGACTTGCTGTACATTTGTATATTTGCTATTTTGTAAAAGTTTCAAATCAAAAATCACATGGCTATAAGACGGATAATCTGAGCGAGTTTGGGCGAATTTCTATGTGCCAAACTTAAGATATGACTTCAAACACAAGAAAATATCTCAAATTGGAGCCTTCTAGCGGAACGCAGGCATATATTTCGAGATCTGAATGATAGAATTTCTTTAAACTTTCCAGATAGTTACATGGCTATAAGACGGATAATCTGAGCGAGTTTGGGCGAATTTCTATGTGCCAAACTTAAGATATGACTTCAAACACAAGAAAATATCTCAAATTGGCGCGTTCTAGCGGAACGCAGGCATATATTTCGAGATCTGAATGATAGAATTTCTTTAAACTTTCCAGATAGTTACATGGCTATAAGACGGATAATCTGAGCGAGTTTGGGCGAATTTCTATGTGCCAAACTTGAGATATGACTTCAAACACAAGAAAATATCTCAAATTGGCGCCTTCTAGCGGAACGCAGGCATATATTTCGAGATCTGAATGATAGAATTTCTTTAAACTTTCCAGATAGTTACATGGCAATAAGACGGATAATCTGAGCGAGTTTGGGCGAATTTCTATGTGCCAAACTTAAGATATGACTTCAAACACAAGAAAATATCTCAAATTGGAGCCTTCTAGCGGAACGCAGGCATATATTTCGAGATCTGAATGATAGAATTTCTTTAAACTTTCCAGATAGTTACATGGCTATAAGACGGATAATCTGAGCGAGTTTGGGCGAATTTCTATGTGCCAAACTTAAGATATGACTTCAAACACAAGAAAATATCTCAAATTGGAGCCTTCTAGCGGAACGCAGGCATATATTTCGAGATCTGAATGATAGAATTTCTTTAAACTTTCCAGATAGTTACATGGCTATAAGACGGATAATCTGAGCGAGTTTGGGCGAATTTCTATGTGCCAAACTTAAGATATGACTTCAAACACAAGAAAATATCTCAAATTGGAGCCTTCTAGCGGAACGCAGGCATATATTTCGAGATCTGAATGATAGAATTTCTTTAAACTTTCCAGATAGTTACATGGCTATAAGACGGATAATCTGAGCGAGTTTGGGCGAATTTCTATGTGCCAAACTTGAGATATGACTTCAAACACAAGAAAATATCTCAAATTGACGCGTTCTAGCGGAACGCAGGCATATATTTCGAGATCTGAATGATAGAATTTCTTTAAACTTTCCAGATGGTTACATGGCTATTAAGAGAGTTCTCTGGCAGTTACGAAACTCGAGAGACTGTGGGATACTGAAGGGAAAGGAAGCAGTTCTAACGAGCTCTTCTCAAACACAAGGATATATCTTGTGAACTTGGCTAGTATATATAAAACATTTGATATGGAGTTGTAGAGGGAGTTATGTGCCTCGCCGGGCTAAAGTAGTGGATGATCTTGCTGTACGGCAAGTTAAACAAGGATCTGAAACTACTAGGTTAACCGTACAGACTCAACTCTGGACCCGTGTCAATATGTTCATTATATGCAAGCCTCTTGATTTATAAGACGGATAATCTGAGCGAGTTTGGGCGAATTTCTATATGCCAAACTTAAGATATGACTTCAAATATAAGAAAATATCTCAAATTGGAGCCTTCTAGCGGAATGCAGGCATATATTTCGAGATCTGAATGATAGAATTTCTTGAAACTTTCCAGTTTAAAGAAAATGTATCCATCATATCTCTAAATATATACCTGTGTTCCGCTAGAAACTGCCAATTTGGAGATATTTTCTTGTGTTTGAAGTCATATCTTAAGTTTGGCACATAGAAACTCTCCCAAAATCGCACAGTTTATCTGTCTGATAACTATACCACTATCTGGAAAGTTTAAAGAAAATCTATCATTCAGATCTCTAAATATATGCCTGTGTTCCGCTAGAAACCGCCAATTTGGAGATATTTTCTTGTGTTTGAAGTCATATCTCAAGTTTGGCACATAGAAACTCGCCCAAAATCGCACAGATTATCCGTCTGATAGCCATACAACTATCTGGAAAGTTTAAAGAAAATCTATCATTCAGATCTCTAAATATATGCCTGTGTTCCGCTAGAAACCGCCAAGTTGGAGATATTTTCTTGTGTTTGAAGTCATATCTCCATTTTGGCATATAGAAATTCTCCCAAACTCTTACTCATTATTTTGTATATAGCCATCTAACTATCTGGAAACTTTGAAGAAAATCTGTCATTCAGATCTTGTGAAAATCAAAAATATATTCTAAGTTATTCACAAAAACACTCGATTTTCGAACTTTTTATTTGGAACAGATTTGTCGAAAGTCCTTCTGCAAAATTCTTCCAGGGGTTATTATACCGCAGCAGCGACAACATTTTAATATGCAACATTTTCATGGCAGTTGTGCAGAGCGACATTTTAGCTCGTATAGTACATTATGGCGCGCGCGCGCAGCGCAGTGTTCGATCATATGTATCATGCCGGAACAAGGAAAAACGCCATCTTTAAGGACGCGAAGATCAGAGAGTTAGGACTCAACTCCTCGAGACTCTACTCCTTCGAGACTCTGCTCCTTCGAGACCCTGCTCCTTCAAGACTCTACTCCTTCGAGACTCTACTCCTTCGAAACTCTACTCCTTCGAGACTCTGCTCCTTCGAGACCCTGCTCCTTCAAGACTCTACTCCTTCGAGACTCTACTCCTTCGAGACTCTA